CTTCTAACTGGCAGCACTCCTCTTGTAACATTCCACAGTGTCTGAAGAACTCTATTACTGGTTGTCAATTCTTTTTTCACAGATTCTTTCCTTAAGTGGTCCTAACTATCTTATCTTTACTTCATTTTTACTGAAAGAAGTCTTTTTTCAGAACATACTATTTTAGAAACATTTTATGCCTAGATTAAGAGGTATTTCTTCATAATAAGCTATCTCCTTCTTAGTGTGATTTACTGAATCTCTCATGTGTGACAAAGCAGAAGACAATGTGACTGTCTATGTACAATATACACACTTGGGAACATTTAAAATTATACAGGATGTGGAACAGATTTTCACCTTGCTTTCACTAGCAAGGTATTTGATGTCTATTAATACTTACTGGAAGGTAGGGTGCAAGAGCTCCACAGGATTCTGCTACCAGCAGCCGTCGCTCTGGGTATTTGTGGTTGATCTGGTAAAGAGAAGCAGATGGGCTGTTTGCTTTGCAGTAACCCATATTCAAAATGTGGTTAGAGCTCACTGAAACGGAGGGATGTGCCTGCGCCTCTTCAATAAACATTGATGAATAAAGAGAAGGTGGAAAGCAGTGTATGGAATGAAGAATATGCATAACTCTTGAGCTGAAATGTCATGAAATAGTTTGTATTACGTAGCCCTTCAGGAGAGACATTCCTCTAAGAACTACACAAGTGCCCTCTAGTGCTCTGAGCCAACCAGTGTAGAAGAGCTGCCTAGGTCTTACTGAGCAACAGGGTCAAAAGAAGGCACAAATATTAAGCCAAAAAGCATTTGTATGCTATCAAAGCTCTGCTCTCAAGTCCTGCATAAAAATGTGGTTGAAAACAACTCATATTGCTGAGAACCTCTGGATCCTGTGCTATTTCCCCTTTCCACTCAAAAGTTGCTTGAAAATTCTGCCTTACAAATTTAATATTGACACTGTGGAACCAAGTTTGCATTCTGGTGGAGTCAGATTTAAAAGCCAGTGTAATGGCTGAAGAATATGTTTCAAAAAACTTTGTAAATAAAAAATTTTATGGTAAAACGGTGAGAGGGATATGTGAGTATTTCGATGCTGTCAGATAAAACAGGATGTGCAGCATGTGGTGCAACTGTTTCTTTCTCTCTTGCTATGCAGTATAGTTGGTTACCACCATAGTGAGTATATAGTGAGTAGTAGGTACACACTATATAGTACTCAATATATAGTGAGTAGTAGGTACTCACTACCTTCTTTTTCTTTCCTGGGAAGAATTGCTTTTAGTAGTCTGAGGTCCCTAAACCCCATGCCAAATTCTGGAGCAAGGAAGATCTTTGGTGGAGAATTATCAGGTTAGGAAACATTTAAAGAAATCAGACATATGCTAGTCTGTGGCCCTGACGGGGATGCACCCATGAACACTCAGAGAGCCGGCTGATGTTCATTCCAAGATCATTCTTGACAATCAACAAAATGTTGTGGCCATGGGGGAGGTTCCTGAAAACTGGAGGAAAGTAAATGTCACTGCTACCTTCAGGAAGGGGAAGACAGAGGATCCAGTGAAACAGACCAGCCTGCCTCACATCAGTTCCTGGGAAGGTGTTGGAGCAAATAATCTTAGAAAGCATTTCCAAACATACGAAGGACAAGAAGGGGGCTGGAAAAAGCCAGCATATATTTATATAGGAAAAACCACACATGGCCAACCTGACAGCTTTCTGAGGTGATCGGCACAGTGAACAAGTTGAGAGCAGTGAAAAGGTAGAAGATGATGTGTACACTTGAGTTCTTTCTACCGACTCAAAACTTGTGACAATGAGATTCAGCTGGCATTTTGCTGAAGAAAATAATGACCTGGTTCCAAGTCTGGCAAACTGCATTAAATAAATGCATTATGACACATGACTTGGCAGTCTGATACGCTGTACTGTTACAGTTGGACTTGTTTCTGTTTTGCATCAGCAATTGGCAAGGAATGGACAACAAAGATGTGTTCTTACTGACGCGAGACCAATTTTTTAAGCACAACCTAAATTTCATGAGGACTGAGAAAAAAAAATGTTGCTTCTTTTATGTTCAACTTCTATTGCCATGAGACCTTCATTTAATCAACAGATACATCAGTCACACATACAAGCAAAATTGGTGCATATAATACATACTTCTACTGTCAGAAAGCATTAAGGCTATTAAAGCTTGGACTTCATTGTGAGATGCAGATTGCTGTGTTATGCAAGAAACAGTAGAAAATTACCAGACCAGAAAGACTGTGCCATCAAAGCAAGCATTATCACTCTGTCACTGCTTAGTTATTTATTGTCTTTTGGTCAATGATGAACTCCCTTTTCTCTTCATTATAGTGGGAAAGTGCTGTACATTTTCACCTGAACTCATGTTACTCTGTTTCTATGCCTCAGGTGAAACAGTAAGAGCATTTCAGTTTGGTTGTTCAGTTATTTCTTTTAATTTATAGTACCTGTGGAAAGAGTATTTGTGATTCTAGAAGTCACACGTAAACTTCAGGCTGATCTCACAGGAGTAAAATCATGCCCATCTACAGGAGACTTACTTATGAATACTCTGATCTTTGATTTTTAAGAATTTAAACTAGCTGAAGTGTGAGCACTACTCCATGGATTTAATACAACATAAAAGAATCAGCAAATAAAATCTTTGAATGAAAATGGACTTGCAGCAGTCTGGAAATCACAGCACAAATTATAAAGGTACCTACCTAGCAATAGGTTAGGCTACAGTGATGATGAATATGTGTCTATCTACGTTTCGATATAACAAACTTATTCTGGTATATGCAAGTAACTAGAATCTCTAGATAGTCATTAACAAGTTTTCCACTTTTACTTTTTTTTAATGCTATATAGAAGTATATGTAATGAGGACAACAATATCCAAATATCTTTCTGAAAAATACTTTGAACTGCCATTCATTGAAAAACAAAACCAAAACAACCTCCTCAAACAAACATTCATGAATTTTTAACTAATTTTCCAGTGGAGAGCACAAAATAATCAGTTACCTGCTCCCAACACTGTGGTAAAAGTTCAGCTTCTACACGTGTTGGTCCAACATGTCGGGCAAATGCCACACATCCAGTTAATATCATCTGTCTGAAAACATAAATGTAAAGCTTTAATCTGTTTATAAAGTTCTATAATATATGAAATACATTCTTTAAGTCCAGTAAAGCAGATGTTGACAGGCAACAGGTAGTTGTCTACAGTCAAGATTTCACACCACACACACTGACTTTAAAATCTAAATCTTAAATTGAAAGCCACTGTTGTCCCTGCTCATTGCAGGGCAGGGATTTGCCTAGATGACCTTCAAACGTCCCTTCCAGTACAAGCTATTCTATGATTCTACCTTGTTTTGTATTTAAGAGGCCTTTTCCAAAATCTTGCAGATCCCAAGCTCCACAAACCAAAGCTTGAGAATCTCTGATTTGGTTACTTCTGATTTCCCGTGTCTGAGGTAGGGAATATCTGACTGAATTTCTCATTTAATTCTTAGTTCTAAATGCTATCATGCATTATGCAGTAGAAGGATCTAAATTACTTAATGCTGTTATACTATCAGTATTTTACTAAAGTGCACATACGGCTTTTATTTAGTAGCATTTGTGAGATTTAATGGATATGGTTCAAACTGAGTAACTTAATTCTTTTGAATGGTTCTTAATGGTTTTGCAATATTCTAACATATAAGTAACCGTCACCTCTCTTAAAATACTGGACCTCACTCTTGTGAGAAGTCTAAAGCCCAACAAAATGGAAGCAATTAATCAATCAGCAGTATCTATAATCACCTGTTATTTGTATTCATATTCTTAGATTTTTGTTTGCAAGAAATTCCATCAAATTCGTAGGCAGAGATATATTTAAGATGTCAGTAAGATTGTACTTATCTGCAATTTGTGGTACTTTAACTTTTATTTAATGAGTGTTTATCTTGCTAAGATTTTTTGACTTATATTTCTCCTGTTAATAGGATTGGAAAAATACCAACTTTGCATGCAATTCACCAGTTCTATGTTCACTTTTAGTGCCTACATGAACTCTTAAATAACCAGTTTCAAATGACAGTGCATAGACACAAGACACTCTTTTTATCACCTCCACAGTAAGACGAGGACACACTTATTAATTATTATTACTTTGTGGAATGTAAGCCAGAATGAATTTGTTACCATTTTAGTGTCCTGTCTAAACTCCTAAGTATTTACTGAGGGAATAATATCCCCTTAAGGTTGAAAGGCAGAGATTCTGCTGGTTATTTCTTTAATAATTATAGAATATAGTCCATCAAAAAAAGACTTATTCACTTTCAGAATCTTTCTAGGAGAAAGGGTCCATAAAAAAGATTTTTTTTTTTTATACCATCATTCTTTAGGCCAACAATTAGAACAAGCTCTTTGGTTTTGTGTTGTGGATCTTGGAGGGTTTTAACTCTCTACCACGTACAAAGAACTAAACCTTTGATCAAGATAAAAAGGTTGCAGGAAAACAAAAGCGGTTAGATAAAACTCAAGAAATCAACATCTGAGATGTGATAGCAGTATGGAGACAAAAGCCTGTGGTAATTCTGAATTCTACAGCAACCAAAATAGGCATTCAAATGACTGTCTTTGGCTCTATACACTGCACCTAATGACAGAACGGGGCAATAGAATATGCATTTTTAAGATATTAAAAAAGAAAACAGCAGAATACAGTAATCACTTGAAATCTTCTGCATTCAAAATGAGTTAAAACAAAATATAATTTTTTTTTAAATCAAACCTTCTTGAAAAAGTTCCATGGAAACTCAGAATTAACTGAATTTCCTTTTGCTTTGCCTTACTTCTTAGTGAACATGAAGAGATTTCAAAAATATTAAAAAATAATGTTTTAAATATTTTAATGCAACCATCTTAAAAGCATATTACAGTAGTCTGCATTTCAGGGGAAGGCTGTAAGGATCTCAACAACATAGGATTGAAACAAAAAGCCGTTAATATTAAGCTGTTACAAAAACAGCAGTCCAGACTGGATATGAGAATAACTTCCAGGTTATGCACTTCTGATCCCTTAGGCAGGAATATAAAGAAAATTAATGTGATTCAGCAGACACCAGTTTGCTTAATCAGTACAGAAAACAACATGAAATCAAGAATGAAACTAGAGGAATAATGCAGAAGTTACAGTAGAGCAGACATTATCTAGCATTTCTAAACTCTTTCTAGATGTTTTTAAAAGTCATTGCACACACTGGGAAGAAGTTCAATCTTACACTACAGAGTTCAGACTTCTTTTGTCTCTTCTAAAGGCTGTATTAAGAAATTACTTACTAGAGTTTCCCTTAATATGTCAGCAAGTTATGTGTGTTCTGTAAGAAGTGGTATAATATGGCCAACAAAACATCATAGTGGATATGATAAGCTTAATGTATTATAGGTTCTTTTTGTTAAGAGTGCTGCTTCTGGATATGTTACATAATAATCTTCAAGAGTCCACATTCTGAACTATGTTTTAACCTTGTCCTAAAAGGCCCAAACATTATTCTAACTTCTTCAGGGCTTCTTAGTCTCCAAAACTAACATAACTGTACAAAAAGTAGTTTAGGTAAAGCAAAACAAATATATTTGTTCCTTTGCAGAAGAAAATTTGATAGACATTATGAAAAAAGTGGTACATTAATGATCAAAGCCTTGAGGACAAAGTGGCCTTATTAAATATAATGTCAGTATACAAGACTACAGTGATATGCTACATACCAAAAAGCCTCTCACATGGGCAAGAAGTATAATACAGGTTTTCCACATAATTGTTTATATACTTGAGATATTTGACCTTCTAAAGTAAATTACTTCTTTTAATGGTTTCATTCTTAGAAATGAAATGTCACACACCAGTTTCTTGCATTTAGCAAATTAAAAATGTCAACTTATCAGCTGCTACATTAATGTATGACATAGGCCTGTGCAGTAGAACAAAAGTAAAAAAATAACATGAGATAACTGTTCTGGTGACTTAACCTGAATGTCTTTGTTAAATTCATATGGCATGAGACTCTTAAGACATCATTTAAATGTATTTAGGTAAAAATCAAGCACACATTATACACTTCCATAAGTATAAAAACCCACTGAAATTCTGAATAAGTATTTTCTATCACATTTGTATTCAGAGTGTCTTTTACTTGAATGGAATTTTAACTGTTCTTTCATCAGGTATTATGGCCCCTCTGAAAGAGATGATGATGTTTATGTGTGTAAATGTTTATTATGCATGTGTATTTTGTCCTGGAGTTTATGGCAGAATATTCTTCCCAAATTTCTGAAGAAAACAAGTTTTTTTCATATATAAATCTCTAATTCACAACAAAGAATGAACAACTTCAAGGAAAAAAGCTTGGATTTTCTTCTTTCTTAGCTGCTGGAAAAGACACACTTAATACACCTAAACAGGCATATGAAAAACCTACTTGATAGGCCATCAATCCTGTAACAAATTAGCCAAAAGAGACTCCAAGTGAGATGTAACTTCCTTTCCCCTTCAACCACAAATTAATTTTAGCTTCTCAATCCACACAGGACATTCAAAACAATTTAGACAGACATTTCAGAAGCAGATTTCTAAGGAATCTGAAGTAGAACAAGGACTGCATCTTTTTGTAATTTCAGTCTGCATGGTGCCACTATGCTACAAGTTGCTTTTATTTATTTAAGCATTTTTTTTTGTCTCCAAAGCCATGGCTTTCAGTTATCGCTAATCTGTACATTTTACCATGGGAATGGTTTAGAAAGACACTAGAACAGTTTTGGAGAATCTTCAAAGAAATGCTTTCCACCTACTTCATAAAGTATGAGTAGATACAGATGCTTTAGAAAACACCTCTAGTGAAAATAATGGAAAAACTACAGGACAAACATGAAAAAATCTTTCCACAGTTAGAGAAGGAAACATAGCAGTTAAGAGTACTGTCTTTCAACCTTAAGGATATTCTCATCAAGATTGGTACAAAGTCACATTTCCTGACTACTAAGGAAGAATTAATTTTATAGAATAAAAGGTATACTTTGTTTTAGAGTCTTAACCAAAATAAAACAAAGTTCTTAACACTTGTCAGACCTAAACCACTGCGACGGTCTTTTGAATTTTTTGTTGCTACAATAGTGAGCCATAAGTAGAAAGAGCATTATTATTTTCTCATACTATTTTCCCTAACCAAACATGGTAGTTACCTTACAAACATATAGATAACTAGGACACATTAGGACAGAGGTTTAAAAAAAAAAAACAACAAAAAAACTGCTTTGATTTCTCCACCAACCATTGCTAAGAACTATGACCTTATAGCTCATTTTAACAGAAGAGTTTCAAAAGAGTTTCAGTTCAACTTTAAACAAAAAAAGGAACTGAAATGTTACACTGCAGCTTATAAGCACATTCTTACATTTCAGTAACTAGAAAGTACCGGCCATGGAAACAGAAAGTCCTGATGTTTGCATAAATTTGTCAACACTATACAAGCGAAATACCATCTTAGATGAAACTTGTCTAAAATCACCCAATAATATCCAATTTCTAATAGTTCTGCTACTCTGACAGAGAAAAAAGTTCCTCCTTGTCCCGTAACACACAAACGCAAACACACCTTTGCTCATCATCTGGTCGTTTGATCAAATTGAACAGTATGTGTAGAAGTTGGTCTCTCTCTTTGGGTTCAGGATGGAGGCAGGCTGTACACAGTATGAGTGGGATCAATTCCTAAAAGATTGTGGGTAGGGGAAAACCAAACAAAGTAAAAACGCTTTGGGCATATATTCATTAATGGTAAAGGAAAGTAAGAAGATAAATCTAGTCACATAACATCAAAACAGTTTGAAAAGATGTTTTAGAGTCTTGATCTCTTATTAAGTGACCTGAAAAAAGTGAAGGTCTACAAAAGTTAGAATTATTTTCCTGCTAGGAAAAATCAGGGAGAACCAACACATAAAATGAAAAACTCTGCAAAGATTACAATTAACATATGCAGGTCACCTGTAAGCAGAATTAGAGGACAGTCATGATTTCATTGTCTTCACTACCCACTGAACTGAAGCAAGCTCCACAGACATCTATGGAACAAAGCTCCTATGGAAAAATACCATGGAGTTAAAGATTACAATTTCCAATTAGGTATGCACACAGTTTCGTGCACAAGTTTGAATAAGCATTGAGAAACACACACTGGTAAAGGTGACTGCAGACAGATATCCCCTATAGTGTTGAGTGAGAACTATATGATTTTTTTTAAAGGTTTGTTGATGTGTTTTTTTCCCATAAAGAGGTAATATCTAAAGCTGAATTTTCTTTTTAGAGCGACAAAAATTCCTTAAGGAACAAACTACAAAGAAAATACTGTGTAAAACATCAATTGAGAGAAAATATAAGGCTGTTCACAATAGCTTAGACCTCCTCCTTTCTAAATATGCCTTCAAAGCTCATGGTATTCATTCCCAGAAGAAACAAATGTTTTTAAAACATGGTCTGGAAGTCCCTTTCCTTGATCTTGCTGATATAAACCTTTATTCCAACTGAATTTGGAAGCCACATGGTTCTAGGTGATTTAATATCTTAGGGACAGAAACATCGAACTGGGAGGTCAGGGGAAAAGAACAAGACAGCCTAGGTGTCTGCAAAAAAAAACCTAAATAAACATGGACAAGTAATCTGGAAACTTCCTTGCACATGTGCCATGTACTTTTAAGCCACTCTCAACAGAGAGGCTTTCTGTGAATTATTAAGTTGTGACAAACAAGCAGGTGATAGCGGGAAACTCATCTAATGCTACTAGGAAAGATGACAAAAAAAACCTGGAAAAATCTACGGTTATTTGTAATGACTTCACAAGGAGGTGTCAATTTCTTCTTACAGACATTCAAAGTGACCTGGTTACGATGTTCTTGAGAGTAAGTCTGTTAAAAAAGGTGGGCATGTGGAAACACCAGTAACGACACCCTCACTGCACAACTTGTCTTTTCCTAAACAGCAAGTCCTATGTTTAAATTAAACATAAAACAATACTCTATTTTAGAGCAGTGTCTAAGCTAGTCAACTCCTGACAAACTTTTTTTTCATTTTACAAGAATTTTACACAGGGTGCTATTTTCCACCCCTGAAGTTGACCAAGACACAACCTATTCTAACATTATGTGATTCTGGTATATGTTTTGGCAATATTTAACTCAATTATGGTACAGATTAGGGAATTTATGACAGAGAAATGAATGAGAAAATAGCCTACCAATTGCTTAAAAAAAAAAAATCTAAAAGGACAGAAAGGGAAATAACTCTGAACAATTTGGACATTTCTATTTCTTAATACTTCTAAGTGAGCCAGTTTTCAGTGTTTTTAAGTAAGTGTAGCCCAATGCAAAATAACGTGAACTGAAAATCTGCATTAAAGAAATACTGCACGAAGAACTAAACTTTCTTTAGCTGAAAGCTCCTTTCCCTGTAGAATTTGCATGTTAGATTTTATTTTTTTTGGATACTTAAAATTCAGTTTTTGCCCATTTAAAGTTCTGAGAAGTCAGGGGGTTAGCCTGTTTAACTTTGTTTCTGTACTTCACAGAAGAATTTTTTCTCCTGCAAATATTGCTTTAATTCCAGAAGCTTTGAAAGAATATTACAAAAATAACACATACATCCACCACACTACTTATACATTAGGCTAAGATCTTTTAAATATGAAATCAGATTGCAATTTGCAGATATCCCACAAAACTACTAACTTTGCCATAAAGAATAAAGCTCACTGAAAAAAACTTTAAAAAAGGAAACCTCTGTTACTTTAGTGAGATCTAACTTTCTCAAATCTACCCTAAGTTCACACTGTCCAACTGCTCTTGCAAGTATTCTTAAGAGCTCCTATGAAAACTTTTTTTTAAAAAATATACCTCATGAAATGGGACATACATGGGGGTTTTATTTCATCTGATGAAACCATCACATTGACTTCACATTCTTAGTACGTTTGAATACCTACTCAAAAATCTCAACTGCTCACTCAGAACTATTGCTAGATTTCAAAACAGTGCCAGGAGCTGCTTTTTTTTTAAGCTTCTTACTGAATTTAAGGACGCTTAAGTTGTCTTCCTCCAGTTGAGTCTGCACAAAAGGAAAAAAACTCAGAATATTCACCTAGAAACTACTACCTTGTGTCTGAAAGGCTAATGAGTAACCTAACACCATCGACACAGGGCAGATACAAGGCTGGTTCTTTACCTTGCAGAAAGCTGGTTATTATAGCTGACGGAATTAGCTGTATTTTCTTGTCCATTGGTCACATTCTCTCATGCATACTATGGGAGAAGAGAGTGTTCTCTGCATCGCTTCACCAGTGCTTCTACAGTTCCTTCTATTAAGGGGAGTGGAAAAATAGTGAGAAGTCTTGAACAGTGTTTTCTGTACTCCCTTATAGACCTAATGGACGGGAAGGTAAAACTGCAGGTGAAAGGGACTTTGTATGGGACAAGAAGAAAAAAATTGCTCTCACAGATGGACAAAACAGATCAAGTGAAGTCTCTCTAAGACGTATAAAGGGCAGATTCTTCTTGGGATATGCAGGATGATGATGAACCAAAACCAACGTACCGCTCAGTTTGAGCTGATTCCTTCCTGCTGCTAAGGGTCATGTGTTAGATGTAGATTTGTTTAACAAATCTCAGATTTTTCATTTTCAAAACCAGCAGAGAATTTCTATAGAAAGTAGTAATTTTTCAACAGGACAGAGTAGTACCAGCACTTGTCTTTTTATATTCAAGAGAAAAGTTCACAACATGGTTATAGAGAGCTAAAATATTTATTACTAATCAAGGAGAGGGCTTCCAATGCTTTTTGAAACACTCTGCCTTCCTTGGGAAGGAATACCACTTGTGCTACAGTCATAAAGCATGAACATAAGTTTCAAAAAAACCCAACAACTCTCCCTTTATTAAATTTTGGATCCTTCCTAAACATTCAGTTCATCCCCAAGTCCCTCTTTTCCCTTTTGCCTCCAAGCTTGGAAAACTCATGTCGGTAGGTCATATTAGTATTAGTCAACAGGAGGAGTGACTATTGACTTCAGTGACTCTACTGCCAGGAGATGTGGTACCAGAACTTTGATATGCTTTCCTCATTAGATTCCAAGCAGATTGACACTATAACATCGTCAGCACTTGCAACTCAATGAAATAAAACATCATATGTTAAAGGTCTCACGCTACTACTGAAAAGACAAATTCACATCTGAGGCAGTTTATATCTGTGAGGTACCCAGATGTTTAACAGAGAGAAAAAGGTTGTTTTGTTTTTACTGTGAGGTAACTTACAAACAGGTGAATGACAGACAATGCTATGAAAGTGGCCTAATGCACTGCACAGGAGAACTGAAGCAACACATCACGGTTCTACTTCTGTGTAACTGTTCACGTGGATCTCTCCAAAGAAAAACCCACATTTTTCTAACCATAATATATCTGGATGTCTTCCTAACGTATAACAACATGTTCTGTTATCTTGAAAGAGGATTCAACGTTTGAGCTGATTACAGTTCTCAACAAAGACAACATTTACACAGGCGTATGGAGCAGTTCTTCATTATGCACAAAAGAAGGTGACTTTCTAACAGTAATTAGTATCACCTAAGCTATACACAAGACAGTTCCTCCTGCATATAAAAAGTATTACAACAAAGTATTAAAGTCTGGGATTCTTTTAAAGCGCAGCATAAAGTCACCCTCTTAGAAAGTAGCAAGGAATTTTCTGTGGGTTTTTTCATCATTATAACTATTTTTTGCTAAGCATTCCAACAAGTCTCCCATCTCATAGCTTCATTCACTAATTACTGTCTTGTTGGAGTGTTCCTGAGCAAAATAATTATCTCAAGGAACAAATTTAATTAGTGTTAAGTGTCAAGACTGGTTACTTCAATAGGTTAAAATAAATATATTTTATTAAATATTAATGTAATAATATTGCAAATAGGTGACAATGTATAAACTAGGATGAAATTGTGATGGATTTTTTTAATGTCTTCCTTTAATAGTCAATGCTTATATTGTAAATCAATGCCATGTAACTTAGCTTCTGACAACAAGTTAATAAAATAAAATAATCTTATTGGCAGCAACTGAAATAGCTGCAGGTACTAACAAACTACTGATATGGACTGTCTTGGGCATGAAGGTATTTGAGGTTCAGAACTCATCCTTTTAGTTTTAAAATGAAAAAATATTTAGTCATGACATCACTGCATGACTCAGAATATTGTGCTAATAAATATTAAAATCACAACTGTAATTACCTTTCATGAGATGAGACTATTACTCCAGGGTCCAAATCAAGCCTATCAGATCCCAAAGGCATGGCTTTACATAAGAATCAATGCAGGTAAGGGTGTGAAAAAACTTTACACTTCTTTGTCTATATCTACTGTTTATTTGCAAACCTGCATATAAAAGTTGTGACACTACTAGTAACAATTAGCAATTCAGTTCATAAACATCAAATTTAACTCCTTGCATCCATATTAGGTTTAAAGACAGTGTTGAAAGACATGAGCTTTCAGACTAGGGATAAAAAGGATACTCTATGAGCCTGAGCTATTTCATTCTAAGAAACTACACTTAAGCCCCTCATATCCAAGAGAAGGGAATTAAGGGATTTCATTTTTGTCTGATGTTAGTGAGGCACTCCCATCCCCAGAACAAAAAAAACCCCTGCAAACCAAAACCAACACCCTGTGTAAGCCCGAAAAGGACCAGCAAACAGGCTGCGGTCAACACTATTCTTGCTTTCCAGACACACAGTCTATAGAACCTACCATAACCTAAGTTTTACAGAGTAAAAGAAAGTATTGTAGTTGTTCATTTAAATTGCCCTATTCTCCCATATTCTGTGAAATAGAAACAGCCATTTAGAAGATACCAATGGTTGACAATTTTCATGCCCAGGACTAACACTGGAATAATAGGTGAGGTGAAGGATGTAAGCAGTTAAAAGAAATGTTTCTTGATTAAGAACAAGAGTAACAAAATATTAAGCCAAAAAGTATACTCTGGTCCAATTCCATTAAAGGACTACATACTGTAGAGTGTAGAAGTTCTACATACGAACAAGATTACTTCTGTTTTCTGACAAAAAAACATTGACTTTTACATTTTCTAAAGGGTAAGAAATAGTATTGCACTGATTAGTTATCCCAAACTTTTTAAAATATTGCTTTTCTCTAATTACAGTTTTGCCAAAGGAATTTTTATGGTACACCTCTTGACAGATTTTGGTGTCTGATTTTACTTTCAGGTTTTTTTATACCTTAAATGTGTTTTACTTTTAAGTAGTAAAAAACAATTGAGAAAGCCATTTCCAATGTAAATTAATTTTTATGAACTCAAGCTGCTTATTTGCAAGAAGTGTTATCACAGACTGCATGCCAATCCAACAGGCTTTTTTTTTAAGAACTGGATTTTAGAATTTTGTTACTGTAAATTCCAATTACTATTTGGATTGCAGTATCTCCTTTGTTTGTCAGTGCATTCACAAACAAATCTCAATATTGGTATACATGTTTTCAGGAAGTTAGGATAACCTAGACACTTGAGATATAAACAAAACTAAATTTCTATGCTGTTACGTGGAATTTTAATGACTACAAATTGCTTTAAGGCAATTATCCTGTGTTACGTGCTATTCATTTTACCCAGGTGAACTGCTTTTTCAGAAACAACTAAAATAATCCCCTCAGTCACCCTACTCAATACTGTGTCTTTCCTTCCTTCTTACGTTCCACTGGAACCTAAAGTACAGATATGAAAGAACAATAAAGTTGCACCAATACAGAAGAACAAGAAGTAATTTCAGAAATGTGTCAACTGTAATATCTACTGTAACACTTACTACCAAGTTAGGTGGGCTGCTATTGACCTTAAGATGGCAAAAACCATAGGAAAAAAGGCTACTGAATCTCTGCTAAGGGATAACAACTACCGAGAGATTGTCAACCTCAGCAAACTCAGTTTCTCCAAAATAAAGATGTCTAACACAGAATTTTCAGCTTAAGATTTTGCAACCAATTTCAACATAATGGATGCTTAAAGAACAAAGGTATTTCAAGGAGTCATCAAAAAATTCTGTTTAGCTCTCCTGCCTAATGCATTGACAGTGTAAGACTTTAAATACTACCACTCATCTTTTCAGAGCAGAGTGGTGATTACTTTGCATTATCATCTGAACTTGTTACACATCTTTCTCAAATTAGTGATCTTTAGGTATATTTTTACTTCTCTGTAACACTGTGTAAAATTCTCATTATTGTATTGTTTTTGGACAAGACTCAAAGTTATACCTTGCTGAAGAGAGCCTAGTTCTTAAGTTAACTTTTCATAACATCAATATTAATAAATACTGATAGTCTAAGCAATTTTTCCTTCAAATTCCATGACTACAGCTGAAAGAACATCACAATAGTTATAGCAACCGGTGGCAGGTAACTAAAACCAGGTATTTTTCCAGCAAATTTCAATACTTGGAAAATTAAGCATCCAGTTACCCAATTCTCACTTGAGGCTTTTCAAGTAAACTGAAACAGACAATTCATTTAAGTCAAACATACACGTAATCATATGAAACTTCAACTGTAAAACAAAATAAGAAGCAAATAGGCTAAAAGGTCACAAAAATATTAAATGCATTACACAGATTATGCTACAAGCTTTGAAAAGAAGCCAAAATACCACATCCTGCGCCAAGCAGAAGGAAGGAAAGGAATGAATAAGAAATCAGAAATTAAGCACTGATCCATGAACATTGACAGAATTATTCTGAAAGACTATTAACAGAACCATTTCCAGAGCACCCAGTTAACATCCTGACGCCCTCAGCAAAAAAAAAAGCCTTTTATGAACTTTCAAAACATGGCACATGTCTGAAGTTCACCATGTCAATCACTGATAATTACTTGTATGGTATAAAATCTTAGATTACAGGATCAGTACAAATTTCTTGAGGATTTTTCAAAGCCTTACAATGAATTTATGCAAAACACACTACTAAGTCTACCATACTGTAGGTCCTGTCAACAAGGACTAAAACTTGCTCAACAAGCTATGTTACTTCAAATCCTTTACTTCAGTGTCAACTATAAGGCCACCGAGTTTTTGTTTGATATGTTTTTTGGTGTTTTTTTACTCATATGGGTAATGTGCAATATTTACAACTAAGCATATAAAACCAGTCATTTGTTTTCCCATCTTCAATCACAATCTTCCTTTCCTATGCTATGAAAGAATGACTGTGCAAACTACCATCTTTAGTTACATTCAAAATACACTTTACATTTTTGTAAATTTTTAGTTAGTTTCATTTTCAAGTTAAGGAAAACATATAAGCAAGATTATAAGAAAATGACCAAAGGACTATTTTTGAGGAACCTTAACTTGGCTGATACATGGAGCTTCTAGAAAAAGACATTAAAAGATTTTTTTTTAGTCAAGTACATAGTGCTGAAAAAGAACCCGAATATTAATCCTTATCAAAACCAATAGCCAAAATAAACCAAATTTAATGTTTGAACTGATAGCCTCTGCTCTTTATAATGCAAATTAACACGATCTTCTCTAACAAAAACATCTGTGCTACCACAAAAGGATGGACCTACAGTAACAGTCTTGCTGAACACTAATGGGTGCCTTAAGCAGAGGAAAAAATCTTGGGATACCATGCAGGTTTACTGAACTCACCTGACAGAGGTGCAAAACCATTTTCTACGAGCAGAGATGCATGCACAAAAGTAAGAACATGATTGCAAGTAACAGACTTTCATGAAATTACACACATCATCAAAATGAATAAGAAAACAACCTGATAAAAATAAAATGTAAGATTTCAGGGTTCCTCACCTCTCGCTTTGCAAGTAGCACATTAGGAACAATATGAGGCAGGCAGCGTCCCAACATTAACATGACACTTTTTTCACTGTCTGCAATCCGAGATACCTAGAAAACCAAGTTGCTTGTTTGCTTTTTTTAAAAGAAGCACAGGAACAGAAAAATATCTTTTCAGAGGACTAAGGGTTACAGCAGGCTGACCACTTAGCAGAAAAATACCTAAATTACTCCCGCATATTAAGCTGTAAGTTTTTGATCTGTCAGCAACTTCAAAACCATGAACCCACTTCTAGAGTCTCAAAGCTTCCCAGTAATTACACATCCATCACTAGGTTTCATATTTAAGCTAAAATCTGAAAGCACATCGTTATTTCTTAAGTTTCACGTACATAGATTCATCTCTCCATCTATGATCACATTCTGTTTCAAAGCAATTACTGCTTGTTTAACTACTGCTGCCATGCAAAATAAAGGATCTTTTAGTTTATGTCAACTGGGAAATATACCTCTGATCCCAAACGGCTGTCTGCTGACATCCGACAGAAAGACAGTAGCGCTTGATGGAAAGCTGGTGACAATGTCCTGAAACATCATCAAAAAGGGAGTGGGGGAAAAAAAGCATAAATCAGATAAGCGATAAAACAAGTCCTTTCATTCTTGTCTACTTGGCTGGGTAAAATGACACTCAGAAAGCACATTTTAACTGAAACATAATACAGAAGATTTTGTTTAAAATCATTGCTGACTTTTAGGGTGTTTAGTTTGTAGCAAGACAAAAATCCCCAGTGTCCTAATTAAGAAGTTACTTTTAGTTCGGAAAAATGTAACATCTTTCAAACTGCTGCACAGACAAAAATAGGACTAAAGCATGAAGAAAAGGAAGCTTTAGCAATACAAGAGGAAGCACACAATTATGCAAACAGAGGGGTGTGGGCACAGAAATCACAAGAAACAGTATTTTTTCTATTTTTGCTTAATGCTCTGATTCTGCACACTGCATAAAAGCATTTGAGTAGTCAGTCAACTTACAAGCTTCAGCATTATATAGAGATTGCTTAACCACCACTTACGGACTGAAACGGATTCAAATGCATAGGCAGAAACTCAAAATTAACCCTAAATTGCTGTCTAAGCCCTCACACAATGTGCATCTGTAGAAGCACTGCCTCATGGCCACACCCAGCACCAGCCAATGCAGCCGAGCTACTCAAAGCGTTAAGCACACATATAAAACCTGATAATAGTCTCAAAACACCCTTGTCCCAAGAGGATAATTTGGCAAAAATCTTCTCAGAACACTTACTGATCATTACATTAAACAGGCAAAGCAGCACCAGCATCCTATTTTTCCTCATAATAACTTCCTCGGCCTTATCTGAGGCCTGCACTTTTTGCTAACACTGCTATATTTAAAGAGGAAAACCAACATTTGTCTTCCAAAACATACAAAAAGCATCTCGCCCTATATCATCATCTGTTGTTTGAATCCTCTAATGACACTATATGAGTTTAAGAAAGGAGGCACAATTCCTATTTCTTATGTGGAAACTGGTATCATCTTTGAACTCGTAAAAATGCACCTGAGTGCATTTTTTGCAATCCTACACACATCTAATTATGTGCATGGACATAGTTTTTTATCTAATAGATTGAAGCATAACACTACAGTAAGTACATTTTACCTTCATTCACCCTTTTCTAACCAAAAAAAGCACATTAAGAATCAAAGCTCCTACTTTAAACTAATCAGCAGGATACACACAAATGCACCAGGTTTCTTCCTCTATTTAGAAAATATGATAAGAATTTATATTTACTACTTAAAATCAATTTTCTAGCTTGACAGTATGGGTTTTTAAACCACATTTTAAATTTTAATGAAGGAAGCATGTTTTGCTTATAGTCAGCTTGGTTTTGGTGTGAGGTTCACTTTAAAAAAGTTACTAAACTACTTAAATGCTAGCCAGTTTTAAAGAACCTCTGTTAAACAACATATTAGTCCTTATTCTGTAAAATATTCTTGACTGACAGATTTACAGGCTCTACTAGAGGTTTTACAGTTTTTTCTACACTAGAAGAACAGGAGCAAGCCTTGGAATTCTAATTAAAACACTACATAAGGGCAAAGTTCCATGCCCACTTTGAAGAGACTGAAAACTAGCTATGACAGTATGTCACTGAACTTTCCTGTGGGTTAAATAACAACAAGCTCTGGGCAGTCTGGATCCCGTTATGATTGCTGGCTATACTTGGAGTCAGGAAAGCTTCTCCTTGATGAAGTCTAGCAAAATCCTTGATGGCTATGCTGGACAGAAACAATGAAAGACCCAAGCCTCTTGCACACAAATCAGTGGAAAGTCCCTTCAAGATGCCACTAGTGAAGATGTTCAAATATATGAAACTATGATGAATACAAAAACCAAGCACTGCTATTCTATTCCATATAACACCGTGACAAGAGTGAATTTACTCAAAAAGCCAGGACTGCTATATACAGAAAACACCTTGTATTTGGTGCAAATTACCACACATCTTAAATCAGTTGAGTAAATACATGTGGTGCAGTCTATTTAAACTGCTGCTACTGCTTTCTACTGCAATCTGTTAGATGAGGCATTTTTCCAGTGATGGCCATGTCCTCATTTGCCATCATGCACGCACAGCTGCTCTAAGTGCAGTCACACAAAGCAGGCTCACTTGCTCTTCTATCCTCTCTTCCCATCTGGGCAAGATTTATGCCAAGAATCCACTCTCTAGATACAGTAGTAACAATCTTGCCTTTTAGTTTTTTATCCCTCTTAATACGTTCTGAATAAGTTGTAGTAATTGTCTCCTACAAATAACCACCCTTGGACTGAAATCAATAAATATCCAGCACTTTTATTGTGCAGCTTCTTCCACAGATCTCTGAACCAATAATGTATTTTTAAGTGAAAAAAATTACTGTTATTAAAAACCTAGTGCCTAATCCAGGAAAAAAAATTAGTACTGGATATTGTTCTATAAATATGTTTTTTTCAAATATGGTTTCCTTTGACCCTTCGTTGACGTGTTAAGCCCAAAGCAGAGTACAAAAATAGCTACATATTACACATGCATTACTGATTTCTGCAGTGAACTGCATTTGAGGGGACTTCTGAAGTTAACTCAGTGGGGATTCATGGCTTCATTGAACCACTTTTCAAGTAAAAACATGTGCTGTTATTTTTAAAACAGCTGTGAGCAGCAAAACAAACGCTGTTCTACTGTCATAAATCCCACTAGAAATAGGCAGTTCCTTCCTCACTAAGTGATTTAATCCTATTTTGATACACATCCTCACCATCCCCAAACTGTCAATCTAATATTCATGCACTTACGGCCACCCAGCACTCACCATGAATCTGAGCAAACAAACTGGTGACAAGCCACAAATGAAAGTAGGCAGACAAGTATTTAGCAATCCATGTATAGCAGTTCTGATTATTACCTAGTCTAGATATTCAGCTAGGATATGAGAGAAATTTAAAAAGAAAACAAACTTTGGAAAGCTAAAATGGAACCACTGACGATTCTTCAGAAAAATCTAAGCTGTTTTAGTGTCCTGTTTAACACCAGTATATTCAACTAAAAGAGAAGAAATTTGTCATGAGACTCTTAAGTACTGTACTCAAAAATCAGAAATCATTTCTCCTGTCCAATTCTAAAGTTGATATCCCTGAAAAAGTGACCCTGACCCTAGAAGTCCGTGCAAGAAGTTCAGAAAATCCAGAGAAGGTAGGACATGCAGAGCTTCAAGTAAAGGTAATTATTAGCAGGGGTAGTAACTCATTTTTGTAGTTATCCTTTTTCTTCAACCCTTTCAGTTTGCATTTATTTTTCATCTGCACAGCACATCACACAGATTTCTACTTGGTATTTTCAGGTGGAAGATAATTCTAGAAGCATATTACAATATCAACACCAGCAAAAAACGCTAGGTGAACTGACAAAACACAAAGCAGGATAGCTGACTGCTTCCCTAGCAACAGCAACAGTAAGATCATAACGTGATCTACTTGCATATCTCTGTCCACAGTGGTAGTGTTAGAAGTTGTACTCTCTCCTTAAGTCTGTGTACATGTTACTCCTGATGGCTACACAACGGTTTGTTCTACCACTTAACGAACAAGTCACTTCCCCTCTTCACTACAAAAAGACTTTTACAGATTGGAGAGGCTTTCTCAAGAACTCTTAGACACACTAACTCAGTCTCCAAGTAATAACACAACATGAATAACTTATTTTAGTTAAAAGAATCATAGCTACCTAGTGAAGACTTGCCCCAAAATCAAAACTCAAAAAGCAGAATGCCATAATTCTGATGATTAAATCTTTATGATAATTAAAAAAATATATAAATAAAAATTGTAGTGCTCTCTTAGATACTCTAATAGAGTTATACACATCTACATAGGAACAACAACAAAAATTTTTCAAGCAACTCTTCCAGCGGAACAGAAGACAATTATGAAATTAAAAGAGAATCTTGTCTTCCCATTCACTATGTTGATTTTATCTGGTTTTTTTGCTGCAGCAAACAGGACTTAGAAACAAACAGGTTTTAGAAACAAGTAGAAGGTAAAAAGAAACACTGAAACTTAATACTGAAACTGCAGGTTAGTCATATGTATACCCCCTCCTAAAAAGATTAGGGACAATATAAAAATATCAGTACTGTATCCTAGAGGTACAGTAAGTATTTTACCTTCATTCAAAACATGAATGGTCTCTTCATGTGGCAGAATTTTACTGTTAGAAAAACATCTAGTCTCTTTAAGAATTTTTAATTTTAGCATGCCAGTTTACAACTTATCACTAACCTATTAGGTTTATCAAAGTGGACTGCAGTTTTAGATGATGGAGCACGTGAGGACAGTTTCTCTGTCTCTTTACGGGGCACAGAATTTAGCATATCGTCTTTAGAAGTCCTTGAGTCCACTTCAGCTGATAAAGCAAGGCTTGTTTCCTCAGTGTTTCCATGTTTATTGTCATTCTCAGAGCTCTTGATATCCAAGTACCGTCCATTGTCCTCTGAGACTGTGAGAGGCACTTGTTTTAAAGAAGGATGGGGAGCTACACCATAAACTGTTGACACAGCAAAGTTTTCATTCTTGAGAAGATCTATTTCACTGAAAAAGGAAAAGCAAAGAATGAAATATTTTTGTAGCTCTCTTGAGAATGCTGTTCAAATCACAAGGCTGAAGCACAGAAATAAGGACAACACACTGAAAAGAGCTCCCTCTTCAATTCCAGTATGTTTAAAAATTCCTTTAATAGAAGTAACTTATATCAAAAAGTTATTTAAATAAACACTAGTTTCATTGAGTTGTTTAGTAGCAGGAAAAACATTGCCCTTGGAGTGAGTGAATCAATGAAACAACTGGGTAACAACAGCCTTACGTACTTCTGGCTGAACCCTGAGCACTGACACACAAACGGTTCCAAGACAGAACCCTATCTGGGATGCAAAACTTAAAACACTATTGTGGTGAAATCAATATATACTATCCTACCTCAATATATACTATTCTACCTGGCTTCGAAATGGTAACTATGCAAGTCAATAAAGCCACTTAAAAATTACACACTTTCCCATAATGCTGCGTCAGGGTACCTCTTAGGAGGAATGATATCTTAAAGCTTACAGTACTGCATGTCTTGACCAAACTTTTAAAATACCTTTAACAAGAGCAAAAACTCCACTAGTCTTGCTCTTTAGAAAGAAAAACTATGATGACATCAGTCCTTAAAACAAGCATCTTTCTAGCAATGTTGGCAAGCTGTACACACCACAGTACTAAGGAGTAACAAAGCTAAGAGAAAACCTACATAAAACACATCAGAACAGATTATGTTTTCAGAGAAATAAAGAAGTTACACTGAAAGAACAAAATTATTACAAAATTAAATTATATAGGCAATAGTAAGGAAATAGTCAATTTGAAGTCTCTTTCTTTTTCTAATGAAATACCATGTACTGAAAAGGAAAGACTACCCTGCCCTGAAGAATTCCTAGTAATTTCATACCTGTAAGTTGTATGTTTCTATTATTGTGCTAGAAAAACACTGAGAAGTTATCCAACATTTATAAGCAGTTGAGTAGATTGATAAGTACGTACCTCTCAAGTCTTTGGATTTGTTCCATCAAAGACCATTTCTCACTGTTTAACACACTAATTTGATCTTCTAATTTTTGCACTATTAAACATTGCTAAATACAAGATAGAAAAAAAAGAGTTTAGTACAATACAGTAGTACTGCAAACAGACGTAACATTTCTTCTGTACAGTCTTACTTCTATTGACTGTGGCGTTGTTTCAAATACAGGGACGGTCCCAAGTATAGGAGTGTCAGCTTCTAACTCATCGTCTTCTACACCGACTGATGCATCCACCATATCTTTTGCAGTAACATGATGGTTTCCAAAGTCACGGTAGAGTTGTAACAGGTCAGGAGGCTTTGGAATGTTCAATCCTACATCATCCCAAAGTTCAAAATCCTTCAAAGGAATTAAAAAAAACTAAGCATACAAAATACTTCCTTTTATTTTTGTCTCTCTTCCACATTTGACCCCAGGCCATACAACAGCAAAATAATCACATTCAAGACTGCATTGTAGGAAAGCAGATGAAAGCTTAAATCAGATAGCAAGAAACAATAGCAGAGAAAGGATCCACTTCATGAATCAAAGCACTTTCACCCTAAAGGCAGCTCTAGGTAACATACTAAAGACAGGACCTTTCAAAACCACACAGATTACAATTTATCTTTTTACTAGGACATGAACACTTCTTGGAATCAGAAATAACATTGCTCAAATTCAAGCAGAAGCCAGTGCAGTTGACGGAAGGCTTTCTACTGATGGAGGTATTGGTTTTGTTTCCATTTCAGTCACAAATACAGGTGTAATTTCCCAGAGGCACACTGTTACAGTACCACACAATCATTTAGATCATTAGACATAAAACTGATCATCTTAGCTATGTCTGGAAAGATCTAAGATAACACCTTATGACTGAGAGCTTCTTCAATACTGTATTCAATGACACAGGGTGATTAAGTACACTCACACATATACCCAGATCACAAACATGAGTAAATTGTATATCCTGCACAAATCAACTGAGTAAGATTTAACGAAAAGATCATGTTCAAGATCCAGTTCTGTCACATCAGAATCCAAGACAGTATGTAGGTACCTATAACTCACAGTACTTTACTTCTTCTTTTGCTTCCTTTAAAGAACACAAACACTCTTTCCTTCCTAAAACTTTTGGGAAAATACTCCACAAACTGCTGTGTTTTCAAACCAAGCTTTATATACGAAAATGCTAACTAACATATTTAACTTTTAGAGTAATTATATATATGAAATGAACTACGTGCTCAGGAGAAGTAATTTTAATTCACTTGAGTTTACGAGAAGATCAGAATATGGAAAGCAAACGTGAAAAAAAAACCCTAAAAAAAACAACCACAAGCGAACTTTACCTGATCATGATTTTCATCTGAAAATGTTATTGATGTAAGCTTGTAACTATTCTTCAATAAAAATTCATTTACTAGGAAGTTTAGAGCTCTTTTCTCAAGAGGTCTGATTGGCTCCTGGAAAAAAAGAAAACAATACACTACATCTTTGGTTCATCTTTATTCTCGTCATAAAGTCCATGCAAAGCTCAGTTATCATCAGCCACCTACCTGAATTTCAGGACTTGATTTATAATTTTTTCGTTCCTGCAAAGGAACTTCATTTTCTGGGGAGGAAAAAGAAGTAACTAAATTTTACTCTCTCACAGAGGATGAGCTCAGCTACTTCTACATTGTTCAAAGTAGAGACTTAAGAAAAGGTTTATGTACACCACCTGCAGCCTGAGTCAGGTTGGCTCGAAGGGCCTGTATGGTCTCCTTGGCTTTCCGTAGTTCAAACTCCAGGACTGGACAGGGATTTGGATTAAACACACACAGGCATCCAACCAAGGCAAGGGAAACAAAAATAAAATATAAAAAGCAAGGATGGGTGTGAAAAAAAATATACTGTTTGTATTAAACAGAAAGCATGCAATCTTTATGGAACTTATGAACACATGCAGCAGAGTTGGTCTGAAAGCAAACTGGTGAACGTTTTCCATAGTTTCATTGGACTTAAGTCAGCTAAATCAAAATTTCAAGCTGTCTGACAAGGACTCGCTGCAGGGTTTTGGGATAGTATTTGGGAGCTGAAGTTGTCAAATATTTTGACTTCTTGGGGCAAGAGGAGTATACAGACAATCAGGGCACAGATCTAAAGGAAGCAAATAGGTGGTGTCAGCAGAGAAAGCTGTCTCCATGCAGCACAGTCTAAACCATAAATGAATGTACTGTCCTACTGAGACTATAGACCTTTGGAAAAAATTATACACTGAAATTTTAGTAGTTTAAAGGGGAGATTTTGAAATATACTTTATTTTACTACAAAAAATAGCATAGTTTTAAATCTCTATTTCAAAATAGAGAGTTTTTGGAATACCCTAGAGTTGATTAAGATTTTGAATTCAATTGCATACACTGAAGAGATGCACAAGACTAAAAAAAGCAAAAAATGCAGCTCTTCTACAGTACTTATAAAGAAACCTGACATAAAAAAAGCCTTTGCTCCATTATTCTTAAAAGTTTACAGTGATTCTCGATTCCACAATACTTTCGATGATCTACAGTCAGCTTTAGAGTAAAAAATATGTAATTCTAGCTGCTACTAGAATTCACCTACTTCTCTCCACTCTCCTGGTCACTGTTATGTGTTTCTCATGTTCCAGTGTTTCCTCCGAAAAAGGGCCATTGGTGCTTTGTTTGCACTGGGGTTTAATGTGTTTTGATGTTGAGGTCATATGTATATATGGTGGCTTAAACTTTAAAACCCTCTGCTTTTGCAAAATATAGAGCAAATGTTCTTTTTATAGCTCTTTACAATTAGAGCATGTAAGGGAACCTATTTCAAGACTTATCAGATAAATACATGCATTTCATTAATTCTCAGATTAGTCTAATCACACTTAAAATACACAGTTTCCAGAAAGAAGGACTGTTATATTTAACTAGAAAAGATGAGCACAGCACAGCTACAATACTGAACTGTTAGATAACCTATTAAGAATATTTTAATGTCTACTCTATTCCCATGCAAAAAAAAAAAAAAAAGTTGTAGCTGCTTTTAATAAGAAAATATCAATGATACCTTTAAACATTGCCTGGAAAAAATTTAACATGGACTTTTGAAATATCTACACAGAGGACAATGCAATGCAGAATCACTGCATTGGCTCTAGATTGTAAGAAATGCTACTGAAGGTTGCAAATAAAAATGTTTCCTCTTTTGAGCATCTGTTACTAAGACTCTTTTGATAATTAGCACACATGGAAAAAAGATTCACTCAGTTTGCATTTATCCATAAAAACTGAAGGAGTAACTACAGTACACCACATTTGCTACATGAAAGTAACTTGTTTGATGCACAGAATTTTACTGCAGCAATATAAAAGCGCAACTGAGGATACAATGAATAAAATATGTAAAATCTCTCTAGTATTCAGCAATGCTGATCTGCAAATACTTCTGTGCAACAAAGTTAGAAAATGCTCTCAGTTAAGTACCTAATTTTAGGACTTCCTTGCATTTGAGTTACTTATTCACAGTTACAATTCTAAGTTGTAAACTACTAATTTGTTACTTTTTGAAAATTGTAAAGAACTCAAATTGAGTAATTTTTCTGACAGAAATGACTATGTGTTAACATTTTACTGTTGTAAAATATTTTCAAAGACCAGAACAGTTGCAGATCAGGAGTGCCCTGCACTAGAATGATATAAATAACAAAAAAAGTTGGAAAAACAACACAAACTATAAAAACTCAGGAAATCCCATTAAGGAAAATAGGAATAAGACATGTCTGAAGGCGTAGAAAGCCAAAAAAGTCATGTCAGACAAACCCATGTCAGACGGCAAGAATTAATTTTTAGTGAACTGTGATGATGCTGAAAATTCTTAGAAGCCATTAGGACTTAACCCATTCAACCTTAAAAGTAGATGACTCTGCTGCATGTTTTTCTGTTACACAGGTTCTAGACACAGTATATCTGAGAAGCTGTCACTCTGCAGCCCCACAGTTCTACTACAAAACAGCATTGTTACAGTTGTACCTCATCCAGCCTTATTAATTCCACCATTATATTTGCCACCATACAAACCTTAATGATTGCGAGTCAGTCACAAATTTAGCTTGTATTTGAACAACTTTGTATTTTTGTTATATAAGCATAAATACTTGTAAGTAGCTATAACATAATTTCAATCAAATGTTAAATTACGATAAAAAATTATTTTAGAAGTTATACTGAAATGTGATCTTCTGCCAAAATCTGTAATGATTTTAAACTCAGCATGTGTATTAATGAAATCAAAACTGGAAATCCCTTAAATAAAAAGGCAACTTCTAACCTCGTTCTTTTGTAACCATTATCAAGTATTGACTTTTAACATAATAACCTGATCTCTCCCCCTCTCTCCTTCTACCAAGCTGTAGTACCTTAGAGAAGTTACACCTTCAAAAGCATTGATAAAGCCAGCTAAAGTTTAACTTCACGCTCAAGTGAGCTGATAAAAAGCAGAACTCATTGCACTTGATGAAGGAGTAGACACTCCTTAAAAGATACACAAAAGTTTTGCTGCAGACAACCTTAGAAAGAACCAAACTGACACTCCTCTACATCAGGAAAGCAGAGAAAAGAAATTTAGAGCCTTTAGCTTGGTTAATCTTCCTGCCAGGAAAGGGTATTTCTGAACAATCTGGCTTGCCTTAGGGGAGATAAATTGAAATGGATCTCTAGTTTCTTATTTATAAAAAGAACTCTAATCACTACAGCTACCATTATGAAAAAAAATTCCTTAGACTTACTCAAAAACTGAATCTTTCAAGAAAGATAAAGATTTTCAGATTAGCCATTTTTACATGAATCAGTTTTCAAGAAGCTAATCTAACACACCTTAAAAGAGAAGTAGCTTCTCTGCTGAGCTTTGACATTTAATAGTGAAGGTTCCTCAAGGATCTTATTCTATTCACTCATATTTGTCAATGACTTCATAAGATATTGGACCATAGGTTGAGAAGATAGCTATAAAAAACAACCTGCAATTTGGGATGGAATAAGTTGAAATCTACATGAACAGCAGTCCTGTTGGGCCAAGGCCAAAAAGCTGAAGAAGTAAACAGTATTTCTAAAATTCTTCAGTGCTAGCTTTTGTATAAGCAGTATTATTTCCAATTATACCAGAATTTTACATTCCACTTAAGAAATATCTTGTTAGACTTCTGCATACTTCGCTATGAAGTACTTCAGACAACAGGAGAAAGGTAGTTTTGTGTTGTGAAGCCACAATAAGGCATTCAGACATTTTCTTTTAAAAGTAGTTCTCCTCTAAAGGAGGAGGGACCCTGTGCTTTCCTAGTTTTCCTAAACTTTCCTACTGTTACAAGCTTTGTTAGTTCCTTAACTGTTATTTTGAGTTCTTCCTCCTTGCCAAGTAAATGTAGAACTCCAGATATCCTAAGTCATGGCCTTCAAAACACATATGATATCACATTACATGTGATGGATTTGTATATACATTTTGAGTCAATCAGAAAAAATTTAAATTCTCTGACAATAGTTAGCAATGAAGCCACTATCACAAATATACTTAAGGACCTGAGGTGTCCCAATTCCTACTTTCCTAAAACAAGCACTAAGAAGAAATGCAACCTTATTTACAGTTGTTGTGAAATACTTCAGGACATAACACAAATAGACCTGAACCAGAAAGTTGCATTACAGCATGAGATATAACTACCACACTACAAATATTAAGACCAGCATAAGAGTTCATGAGCAAGATAATGGAGAACTTGTTGTCATAGTGGGAAGCCAACACTTGACTTGGTAGCCTCATTAATGCTTTTGAGTTAATGAGACAGGACTAGCTACAGAGAAAGCCTCAACTACAGCAGACTTGTCTTCAGGTTCAACCCTTGGAGACCATCAACCTGGAAGGAAATTCAAGAGGCTTACAACTGCTTCACAGGGCCTGAGACAGGAAATGGGAAGACAAAACCCATTTTCAGGATAAAGAAGTTGCACACACAGTGTTAGCACATGACTGTTGTTCTACAGATGCCTTTTGAGTTCTGGTTTTTTAGTTTTTGCTTGTTAGTTTTTTTAAGATTTTCCTCTCATTTTGATTGTGCTCAAGTAACAGTAATCGTTAAAAAAAAAACAAACAAAAAAGTCTATAAAAAGCAGAAACTGTGAACCCAAGTCTACATAAATGAAATTCTCAAAAATAATCAAAGTGGTTTTTGAGCTTGTCTCTTCCCTTCAAATCCTGACACACACAGCATTTCACTCTGCTAACTAGAGATACATAATCTAGCCAGAAATCAATGCTAACAGAGGGAGATCCGAGAATATAATTGATTGAAATGGAATTTGACTATGACAATTAACTTTACTATCATGAAAAACACAACATGTGTTTTTAAAGTTATCAGATTCTAAGAATAGTAGGTGTGAAAGGTAAGTTAGCAATAATAAGGATTTTGAATTATGGAAGGTAGGGGTTTTAGATCAAAAGTATACTTGTGCACATGGTCAATTTAAGATGTGGCAGAAGATTCAGTTCCATAAATTGAATGCCAGATGACCTATTTAAAACAAATGCTGTGGGTATTTGACTTAAGTTAGATATACTCTTACTCTACAGGACGGGAACAGGTTTTCCATTCCCTTGTTGTTTTATGAAAATCAGTATTTGGAGGAGGGTTTTTTAACCCTAATAAATCCTTAAGTACTGAGTTTATCTTAACACCATTTCAAGCACTTAATACATGAGTTCAGATCCAAGATTTATCAGTCTTAGAGAACAAGTTGTTTCCATCTAGTAAATTACAAGCTGTAAGGATGCAAATATTTTTTTTAAACTCTAAGTGGATTACAAATATATTATCCAAATTGTTACATAGTTCTCATTTTCATTAAGGTCAGGTAGATAATGAAGAATGTTTTCTAAATTGCAGTTAACTTTCTCATGCTTCTTTACATCCTCAACTTGCATCTTTTCAGTCAAGCTCATATATAATATTATAGAAGAGACTCAGCTGCCTTGGATCAGACTTCCCAAAAGAAAAATTCACACCAACTCTTCAAAATACGTTTACTTCTATGCCAAATTTTGTTTCTAATTCCAGATGGAATGGACTGGGCTAACAGTTTTGAAATACTGAAATTAATTTTAAAGTCCCTTTGACTTGGAACCAGTTTACCGACTACATTTAGTGACTGATGTGCATTTATGTCCTATCTTTCATCTGACTAGGGAAATCAGGCATTCTATCCAAACAGTAAAAAACAAAGATAGCAGCATGAGAAGGGTGTTAACAAAAAAAAACTACTCAAACCCCACTCTGGGAACTATCAAAAGGAAAATATGGCTATTAGATCATGGCCTCAAGCTTTCACAACAGATTACCATTTTATCTCCTAATCATCAAAGCCCTTTACAGCAAAGAAAGAATTTGAGAAGAAATAAGCAGGATGGACTTCCATTTACGTTTCAAACTGTACTTGCAGCTAAGAACTACTTCAAAAGCAGAAGTTGTAAGCCAGAGTTTGTTCAAAGAAGGAACCAGATATGCAAAGTTTTTGAAACCTCTACTGTCATAATTTTTTCATGTGCAAATTAAATACTTAACAGTTTTCTGAAGTTTATTGCTCAGGAAGATTGCTTTAAACAGAACTGAGGCAAATATTTCAAGCAATTATGACTGAAACAGAATTTTAAGTAGAAATAGGATATTTTGGAAAACTTTGAGTCTTCACGAATATCCAGTCTTGCTTTGTTCAAATTCTTAGGACACTACTTAACAACTCTTTAAAAAACATCTCTAAAGAGACACAGAAATGTAATGTAAATATGCAGACATAAAATTTCCTTGTCAATTACAGCAATCAACTATACTGCAATTGTCCAAAACACTGCTCTATTGTAGGATCACTTAATTAAATGTAATATTTAATTTTAGGACGTATTCATTTCATACTGGAAACAATCAGTATATTTTGTTATTAATGTTCCATCAGAAGATTAATGGTTCTACTGAATGTCAATTCTGACTGGGAGTATACTTTCTATAAGCACCTCTAATCCAATTCAGTTACTAAAGACAGCACCGAGCACAGATCAAACCAGCTCTCTCAGTAATACTGTTGCCAAGTAGTACTGTCTAGAAACAGGAAAATCTACTAAGATGATGAAAATAAATAAAGTATTGGAAATTTGCTTGTTTCTTTCTTGTATTCCAGGACACAATTCACAAGTACTTGGGTTCCTGAAGCAATTTTCTTGGAAGATTAGTTGTCTATTTACAGATATCGCCTCCTTGAAACAGACTACTTATATTGAAAAAGAAAGTAACTAGAGAGTAATAAGAATCTGGAATTTTCCATATAAATTGAAGAACAGTAAGTCCCTATAGTTCTAGACCAGAGCACCAAATAGCTGAGTTTGCTTCATGTTCATGAATTTAATCCAGCCCTTTAACTCAGTAACACTGGTCAGGTAAGAAAAATGAGATTTTTCCACCACTTTTGTTTCTTCTCTCTGGTTCAATACTGGTTGCCATTTCAGACTAAGTGAGAGAGAATTTCTGAGTCAAAATCCTTTACAGAACTGTTTCACCAGCCTTTTTGTTGCTTAAGAACATGACAGTGTTTCTGCTAGGAAGTTGGTGGTTCAGAGGAAGGACAACAGCGTGGAACAGAGACATAGCAGCTTGCATTATTTCAGGTTTCATAAAGCTTGACTGTGTGAGCAAAAGTCCCAGCATCAACAACTTTCATGTACTTGTGATATTAAACAGCATTAAGTGACAAGAAGTAAACAGAGTTCAGTAGCAATTTCAAGAGAGTTTTACTGAGCTTCTCTTATAGAAGCCATGAATAACTTAACATCTGAACTTCGAAAAAACCCTGGACTAGATAAACAGGGTTCACATGCAAAAGAGATTACTAAAATAATCTCAAATACAGAGAGAAGGTTCTGCCTTTGGCAGATAAAAGATCCTGAAATTAAAAGTGCCAGAGGATCCTAAGTTCAGAAAAAGAGGCAAAAAAGCCACTTCCTTAAACCAATCTTACAGAAAGAATAAAATGCGAGAGAAAAGCACTACAGTTAAGATTTGTAGCAAAAAATATTTATGGAACTGAGTAAATCCCAAATTCGCTCTGGGTTTGGAAATGCTTATTTGACTGATCTACATGAAAGCTGTATTTAAGAGATGACCCGAAAGAAATTTGTATATCAGAAATCTATCACCCATGTAGTAGTCACAGAATACATGGAATATTTAGTTTCAGCTAAACAGTAATAGTCAGTAGACAATATCAAGATACAGTTCTACTGTCCAAAGCTGGGCACAATATTTAAGTATACTGCTTATTTTTACCCTGGTCATATCTGGAATCATACAGAAGTACATCTGATTGAATATTTAGAGTTATTGTAGTAGAATTGTCTAAAACATGGTATCAAGTGACTAGTTAAATGACTACAGTGAAGTCTTATCTTCAGAAATGCTCATTTAAATACACTTATGCTAGAAACAAGTCTAACAGTAAAATTACCATTCTATGATTCCTAAATCATACAGAAAACTTACCTGCTACTCTTTCGTCTGTTTCCCTATTGCCATCATCAGAGTATCTTGCAAAATCTAAGGAATCAAGAGTACTGATGCTTCCAGCGCGATCTTAAAGGGGAGGAAAGAAAAAAAAATCAGAAAAAATCCTGAAGTTGCCTGTCTTTGACAGAGAAAGTCAAAACACATTATAAATCGAAGGCTAAGTAAGTTCTGCAAGACTGAAGTTTTACTGCATTTTCTAAAAGTCTGTCTCTAAGTAAAGACTCCATCAGAAAATCTGAACAAAAAATACAGCATTGCAACAAGTTCACTGTAAGAAATTTATTTTTGCTCCACCTGAAATGTGGTGTTTCTAAGCTGTACACAGCAGGTGAGGAGCAATGCAGTGTAGCCCTTCCTCTTTTCCACAAGGGCCAGGGACTTTGGCTTGGACATGCAGATGTGCATGCACAGGGACCCAGAGAGGTACAAACTGTTGTGCCACAGGTTTCAAGCAGTTCTGTTCCAATTTTACACAAACCTTTAACTACCCCAAATACGCTACTTCCTTTTCCCATTTTTAGTATTTTGAGGCATGTTCCTGTGACCAAATACTTTTCTACATCTTGTGATCTAGCCAATAACTTCATACACATCAACTTAACACTTACTAAGGAACATATTACCTAACAAAAGCAAAGGAAGTACAGTTCACGCTATTGTAGGCATAACATTCACATTCTAGAATTAAATTCTTAATTTAAAAAAAGAAAAACTGAAAACATTCAAGAAATTCAGTAACAAGCACAAGGTTTTGATCTGATCTTGACATTTTTCATTTCAGGGGAAAGAGAAAGAAAAAAGATCAAGCAAAATGCAATTTTGATAATTTCAAGTCTGTTGATGCACACATTCACCATTTTATCATAAAAATGAACAGAATATTCAGTAACAGAACTCAAAACAATTGAATATGTTCCTAGAAAAATTGAACATGCAGAAGTTATATTAAGTATCTTAATATCTTTCCCCTCCCTTTGAAATTAATTTCTATGTAGCACTTCAGAAATAAATTTAATTACATTAGAGCTGTTGTCACATTAACAAAGAACAAACTCCATAGAGCTGTCAAGAAAACCTCCTAACTGTCAGTGGAAATAGAAGTAATTTCATCACTTGTCAGTCAGATTTTGTCATGATTAACATCTCTAAGCATTTAACCTCTCCTCCCATTCTGTGTTACGTAAAACAAGTTTTTTGGGGGCTTGGTTTCTTTTATATATTTGTGCCTAAGTTGTCTCGTAAGATCTTGTGACATCCTCTCTACATACAGACCAGCACTGGACTGAAATAAGAACACCTGGATTAAGACTGATTAAACCATCTATACTGAAAAGCTATTAAGAATACTATATTTGCCAACTCTAGCTGAGTGACACAGTACCGAAACAAAAGTGCCTGGCAACCCTAACTTGTTTGTTACATGGACATAAAGCATGTGACAGTACCTAGTTTATATCTAACCACAGGTTTCTTTCCTATTACTATGACTTCTCATTCAAATAATGAAACAAACTGCTGCTCCTCAGTGAGTCTGTATTCAGTAATTGCTTTTAAACCTTATTGTTCATATGCAGGTTCTGGTCTTATCTACTGCATTTTTTCAAGACGTTAATGTGATTTAATAATTCTCTCCAGGCTGTTCTATAGCACTTAGGAGCACAGTACAAACTCTTCTTTTAACAGTCCACTTTGCAAAATGGACTGTTTTGAAAGTAAACCAGTGGGGAATCACATTTAGAGTGGCTAAGTCAAAAGTAAACATGAACTTTGCATGCATAGCATCAGTCGTAAGAGCTGACTTTTCAAAATACTCAACACCTTGATCAGTATGTACTGCTCAAATTTATTTCTTTGGGAGCTTCAAGATAATTTTTTGAAATCCAATTCAAGACTCGAGTTAAAGAAACAAGGATCCCAATGAAAAGCTGATGTTTAAGAAAAGTGAACCAGTCTCACAATAGCATCACTATGGCAAAACCAGAAATACAACTGTTTCCTCATACAGTCTCACCATGTTCACAAGGTAACAATCAGAGAAACAATGCTCAGATTTTCAGGTAAAGTTAACCACATCATCATTATTGACGTCTCCAAAGCCAAAAGTGACACCACCTTTTTTTCCTATGACTAACGGCCCACTTTTGAGGTAAGGGCTCTCTCCTGAAAACTGATAAAACAAATCCAGTTGTAAAATACAAATGTACTTGCCAAAGCATCCAAAACGTTCTTGAAAAAAAACCCCATGTGTCTAGAAAAACACATGGGGTATCACAATCTTCATCAGTATGTACAAAATGGACACTGTTTAAGATGATAGCAGTGGCTGTGAATCCAACAATTTGCAGTATCAATCCGTTCTACAGCTTTAACAGTCCTACAGAAACTAAACACCAAGGGGTTTTTACCATTTTAACACTCAGAAACTGCCTCATGCACCACATCTACATGTACAGCAGCAATCTGAATGGTTGAAACTTGTGTGTTCACCATTTAGGTTTCTCTTTATCACTGCAGTGTTCACAGTAACAGCAAACATCTGACACTTTTCATACAGGTTGATGTTACAAAGATTCAGACTGATTAAACAAAATGAAAGTCTGCTAAGGAACTTAGCATGGCCTGTTTCCTGCTCCATCATTGCACCCTCCCAGTAATGCTGATCCCCCTTCCTGTTACAAAACAGCATACCCCAGCTATCATCACCCCTCAAGTATGCTGTCATTACTAGAACAAGCCAGTTTGGGTGCTAGAAGTCATTATGTCCAGTGCTCAACCTGAAGACAAGGTTTAAAATGAAAAATGTCTTTATGTATTCCATGGGTGGAACCCGAAAATACACAGAGAACTACCTACAGCTATCCAAACAAACAGCTGAAGGAAATGAAACAGTAACAAAGACAACCTGTATACACATACACATTGAACAGTATCTTCTCAATTGAGTGTCCTGCTAGATGATATATATTGCCAAATTTCAAGCCGTGAAATTATAGCTTCCACAATGCAACTCCAACTAAATGGTCAGCTTGCAATGTATATGTAACACTATCTTATAATGCAACAAGACTTTTACCACTACTTTGCTATAGGATACTGCCTTTAAAGTATATGGTGTGGCTAAAGAAGCGCTTCTTGGTGGCAGGAGGCCATCAGTGCTGAAGCACTTCAGCTGAGACATCTCCTGGCCAAAGGGGCTCCACAGGCATCAATGAACCACCAGTTCCCTGCCAAGCCACAGTGCAGGGAAAGCCCAGTCACAGCCACAGCTCCCACTGAGGCAGGTGCGTCATGCAGTAGGAAAGGAAGCAAGGCAGGAGAAGCTCCCTCTGCCTTCAGTGCTGGCACAGCTCCTTATTTCTGCCACCCACCTGGGAAGATGGGCTTCCACCACAGCCAGGCTGGGGGAAGTCCAAATGGCAGCTCCACCTCCTCACCCTCATACTGCAAAGCTTGCAGTGCCACAAGGCCCTTGCCTGCTCTGGCTACTCCAAAGTCTCTGCCCCGAGGCACAGCTGTGGTAGGGCCAGGGCTCAGGAAAGATTGGGCAGCAAAGGGACCTGCTGCTTCTTTCAAATGCCATGGCAGCACTGGCGACCTGCTGGGACTAGGCAAGACGAATTTTGGGGCTGGAACTGCACAACAAAAGGAAGTACCTCAAGGAAGAGCCAAGCACCACACAGGAACTCACACCAGTAGGTTCACACAGCAAAGAGGGATTTCTGACAGAGCCTACTATGGTATCAGCCAGGGGAGAACAAGCTGAGAAAGCTAAACGAGATAGTTAAAATATGACTCAGACCTGCCAGATCTATCATTATCAGCAGGATCACAGCACAAAGATGCTGCCAGGCAGGGCAGTCTGAGTAGTGCCTAAAGCTGAACAGCAGCAGGCCAGCCCCATCGCTGCACCTACCCAAAATGTCTCTGTGGGGTAACTATCTGATGCCTCACTCCTAACCAATGTCTTTGTAGGCAGTCATCAGCTAAGGTTTAACTCCTAAAACTAATGCCATCATCCAGAAAGTCATGGAATAACATCTTATAACCTCAGATTTTACACTTCCATAAAGGATGTACCTGCTTAGCAAAGAATCAGAGGGTGGAAAAGGTGCCTCCCTGCTGACAACTCAACAGCCTTGCTTGCCAGGAAAATGGAAAGGGCTGTTTGAATGAGAGGAACTGGCAAGGAAAGGGCTATGCTCAGTCACGTGGCTCACCTGAAGAATGTGAAACATCACCATTTTGTCTGAAGTACCAATAATTGTACTCCACAACACTGAGTGGAAGTATTTCAACCACAGCGTTCAGAAAACAGATCTATTTTCTGAACTGAAAAGAGAAACTTAAAAAGGAAAAAATAGATAAATTTTTAGAAGAAAACAACACATATTTCTTCACTTTATTTTTTAATAAAAAATAAAAATCTTAGGTTTAACGTACTTGGTAAATAATATAAAAGCACAATCTTTCTCCTGAAAAGGAAAAGTACACTTTGGCTGAATTCTGTTTCTTTCCCAGAAGGAAATACAATTATTTCACAGCAGTGGGAACCCATTTTGCTGTCTGGATGTGCGCATTCTTAACAACAGTCCCCTGTCCATGGATTTTATACTTCTTTCTCTGAATTAAAACACTTTTCAAGCAGCAATTAATTTTTGCTAAAAGCTTTCCTAGTGAATAGTGACAAAATAACTGCTGTCAGCTTCATGTTTCAGAAACGGTAAAGGAAATGAACAAGAACAGTTCTGACAAGGAGGTATAAACACCTGCAGAACACAGATCACCTCAACATGGAACAAGAAAGCGCCATGAGTGCATTGAGGAAAAGTGAAATAGGCTTAGGCTTTTCATAGTACATACTAGTGAAGTGCCAGGAGACAGAGGCAGTAAAGGAGAGCCTGTGTATAGTTCTTGTGTCCTACCTTTAACAGTGGAAAAGGATGAATAAAGTCAGAATACCAAGACTCATACTGGATACTCTAAGCTAAGAAGTTTTTTTAATCCATTTGTTAAAAAATGCAATGTTTTTACTTTCATTTGTGAAATTAAAAATCAGATTCAACACC